TGATCTTGATGACCATGTATTTTTGCATATTGTTTGAGAACTATAAGTACCATAAAAGTGGAAGGTGCAGGATTGTTAAACTACGGCTGATCAAGTACTTTTTTCCGGCAAATTGTTGAACTTTTTCAAATATTCTTGTCTTCATCACTAACGGCATCTTCACAGAACATTTCCTGATTCAAAACATTTGCTCAGATCCTGCGACCAAGCAGTGGCCGTCTAGAAAAAGATACCCAAGATGTTTCCCGCCTTTCCAAGAGTCAAATCGCCATGCTCTTCAAAAAAGTAGGTTTTTGGTTTGTTTTTCTTACCATACATTCACCGTTTTTGTCTCAGCTGTTTAGGGAACTGTGTTTAAGAGCTATAAATTTTTTAAACAATGGAAATAAGTTGCAGGTCTGCAGTGATCTTGGAAAACCAGTTCCGCAAGGGTATACATATGAAAACATGAAGGTCCATTGTCAAGCCTATGAACAGGGCAGGATTTCGCTTGAGACGTGGTAAGTCGTTCAGTGTTACTGTATAGTGCAAGATGATATGGTAGGTTTTTTTATGAATTATTTAACTAGCACATGTATATAAAGGAATATAGTTAAATTTATTGTTTAGGCTTCGAGACCAGAAACTAGGAATGTGGCAGTCAAAGCCAGAAGAAGTGTCAATGTTCGTTGTTTGAGGTTGATCTTGGCGTATTCAAAACAGAAATACCTCTCTTTCGTTTTGGATGTTCCATGTTTCTGATCTCTAATTCCAAAATTTTCCTAATCTCTCCCTCATTCGTACAAGGTACAAGATCAGAAAGATGAGCGCTATAACATATTGTTTGATTGTATGTCTTTTAGACTGATCACTTTCAATTATTGTTTCGTTTCAATCCGCTCTGCGGCTCTTTAGTTATTTAATAACTTATCCAATGTTAAATGTATGTCTGTGTTGTTTGCAGTATAGTAAGTTTGTTGTACTGTGTTGTTACTCAGCCAAGGTGTATGAGTTATTGTAGTAATTATTTATCAATGTGTCACTTCTAATGAAATTTTGAAAAATATAGAAAATCAATAGCCACGCGTCGTTCGATACGTATATATCTGCTAGAGGAATGTGCACTCAAATCTAATAAAAGATGGGCGAATTTGTTAAGAGAAGCGGAAATGGCAAGTCGGCTCGAATCAGCCGATGAAGAGGTTATCATAGCATCAGAAGAGCTCAGCTCAACACAGTCGTCCGAGCCCATATCGAGACGTCGGTTGGCATTTAGACCACCGCCTGAACCTCGTCCTCTCAGTATGGCGTCCAATCGTCCTGATACCACGTCTAACGAATGTGCACCGGGCGCTGGAGTGAGTTTTGTTTGAAGTCGCATGGTACCGCAACTTGCATGAGCGTCTTAGAACTTTACTTGGGTAAAAATGACAGTAGAAGGGGCTAATGCTTTCCGTGCGGTTTTCTTCTTTACGATTTCCAACACCTTACATCCTAATTGAAGCCAAATAATCTGGATAGTGGGCGGAAGTGGTGTAGTGGCAAGTGGCGCGCTTACCACGCGAGCGGTCCGGGGATCAAATCCTGGGTCGTGAGTCGCCCGGGCCAACCAAGCCTTCCATCCCTCCGGGGTCGGTTAATTGGTACCAGACTTGTCTGGGAGGATAAAAACACTGACTTGTACATCTGGCCCCGCAAGTCATTGTATAGGCCACATCGCATTCAAACGCCACTACGAATGTACAAATGGAAGTAGAATGCGTGCCGCATCCCAAAAGGGATTGATCGTTCTAAATTTCCGGGTCGTATTCTATTCTCTCTTTTTTTTTTGAACTGTAATCATTGCTGTGCCGCATCATCGATTTGTTACTCTTTTAATCCATATCTTCAGCCATCTAAACCAACTACCGCTTCATCATTCAGTGAGGAGGAACGCCTGCCGCGAAAGTCCAAAACCTGGAGCCATGACGAGATAATGGTATTTTACGAAGGGCTGAAACAGGTCGGGCACAGCGTACACGTGTACCAGTGAAAAAATGGTTTTTATGAGTTTTTGCAGTGCGGAAAGGATTTTGATGGTGTGATGCGTATAATGGCCAAGCGAAAAGTTGAAAAGAATAAAGAGCAGACGAAAAATTACTATTTCAACCTATTGAAACACGTTAAGCAATCAATCTCTTTGGATGAAGGTGTGTTCCTGGCTGTTTCGAGGCTGTCTTTTTTTTCTACTCTGACCTTTTAAGATTCCATGGGGGACATTGGACGTGATGCGAAGGAATTGTTCATCACTATAAATGCTTGCGAATGGAGACGACGAACTCATACTAATCAGTATATCCCGGAGCGAATGAAAGAACTGATTTTTCATGGGTTAGTGCGCAGGGTAGATCATTTCAATTAGCTAGTTCTGCGTACGTACTATGTATCAGTCGAATTCTTTGCAGTTGTACGACTATTCCTATACGCGATAAATCGAAGAAGAAAAGTGTACCTGTGAAGATCAAGACTCCGCCCTGTCCGTCCCTGCTGAAGTTTTTCTACAGTAAGTTCGAAATCATCAGTGTTAAAGTTGGATGAGTTAATTGCCGTATATCTGATCGTTTATTTTAGGCAATCAGCTCGATAAGTTTCCCTCCGAAATCATCGTCTCACTGAAGCCGATGACGTACGCTGATGCTTCCTATGTGGTAGATTTTCAGACTCCTTTTTCGTTACATTTCGGAAACATATAAGTACATACATGATACTGGCGTACATTTGTGTAATATGATTGGAATGTTGTTTAGGTCAGTTGCGAACAAAATCCACTTATTCGAATCCGGCTGAACACAAACGACCGCATTTCAAGGATTTTTCAACTTTTGAAGCATAAGTGGTCCTCAGCATTGGACAGATTAGTGAGTTCTTGGAAGGAAGCTACGTGATTATACTCAGTGGAATTGCGCTGACGCACTAGGCCATCCATCCTAAGTTAGCCCTCTCACATTCTTATTTTCATCTACGTGTAGTAGTCTTATACTCGATATCCGAGAGTTGGGGTAGGCGTGTCACCGGAAGTGACGTGCACTTGATAGAAGCTATGTGGATAAGCTGCTTCCAACATACATCGCTGGATATCAGCAAAGCATGCTGGCAACAGCTTATCCACGCAACTTCCTCGGTGACTTGCCTTACCCCAACTTTCGGATATCGACGGTATATACGCGGACGAAACTACGGGCCATCACGATTTCTAGCTTGTGAGATAGCTACCGCGAACAATTACCCGGTTTCACAACGCCATACAAGAAAAAGCAAGAACGCGCAAGAGCTCGCGTTAAAGCAGTTCAGAGCTGTATTCCTTTGATACCACTAACACTGCAGGAAATCTCACCAGCTGTTGCTCGCTATTGTGAGAAGGAGGTTTTTTCGGCAGTCCCACGCGACCAAAAAGTGGAAAACGCGTGCCGTCGTAAATGTGTTGAGCTACCCATGCAACCCATTTTTTCTTGTCGGAGGTTGAAAAACAAGAGCATCACCATTACTTTTTTGATGTAAATCGCTCTGACCCGTGAATTTCTTTACAATCACCCTTGATTCAGGATGCGAATGGAAGTCGAAGATCATCCGGTCCACGTCCCGAAGTTCGTCTATTTGCTGGTAAAGATACTGAAGTAGGAAGAGTAGTTCTAAACGCCACCGAGTTGGCACCGGCCGTAGGATTGTCGTTAAACAAGTGTGTTCAATCTGATGAGAGGCAGTGTATAAGGAGAGTTATTGAATCGCTTCAGGCTGAGGAAGGAACGGGAGGACCGCGAAGCACTGAAGTCCAAGCGATCTCGGAATGCACAAGTGAACACTGGTAACTTTTTACACTTTTTTATAAGCAGCCAACCATTGAATCCAACATTTCGTGTATCGCTTCTGTATTGACTGGAATTAAAAATTTCTCAGAGCCTTCCTATACGGTGTCAATATCGCACAATTTCGTCCTGAACGAAGATATCATGAAGGATGGGTTGTGTGAGGAGAATGTTCGTGACGCAATAGTAGCCGAGATCTATTGCTTGGTTGGTTTATTTCGTAAATCTTTGGAGTGTTATTGCGATCGTGTCAGGGTCAGTCAGAGAAGTCTACATAAGAAAATTGTTCCTTAGATAAGTGAATATCAACCTAAGCAGGGCAGAGCTCCGTGGTCAGCGAAAATCTGAATTTGCTCAATTCGACTCTTCCTTAGCTTGTTTTGTTTGCTGCAACCTTCGCGAGCGAACTGCGGCGTTGAAACAACAACAAACAAAACACGTCAAAATTAATACCGTCAGCCTTGGGTTTACCACCGATACCGACCGCCTCATCACGTTAGACGTGTGAGTGCTGAAAGCTATGGTACGTATACCATGAAAAGCTGAGTTGGATGAAATGGTGCCCCGGTAGCGTAACTGGTAGCGCACTTGCCCGGAAAGCGAGAGGTGCGGGTTCTAGTCCCGCCTGGGGCGAAAGTTTTGTTCACAACCCAGCATTCTTGCGAAACCACACCTTAGCATTTGCACGGCATTCCTCCTAGGGGATCATAACGATGACTACTCTGATGTTCGCGCTAGTGAGGTGAGGTAATCTTCGCCTCTGAAAGCAATCAAAATGAGCGCTAAGAGAAATTGGGTAATCTAATTAGTCGCTCCTCGGAATGAAGGAAGAGGCGTTGTGTGCTGCGGTATTGCCAAAAGATTAGGGACACGACCTCGACTAGTGAAGCGGAGCCACTCACTCCGACAATGGCTTCAAGATGTGGAACGAGGCTGTGAGTGAGATAGAAGTTGGGATGATTCATAGCTGACAGCACGTCAATTAACATCACACCCTGATTGATATAGCTTCGCTGGATGCAGTTTACATAGAAAAACAGCGGTGAGCGATGGTGATAAAAAGTTTTCATATTATTCAGCCATTTGCACAAAAAAATTTCAGTGTGGCATGACTCCGATTGTAGAACTGGTGTACAGTGTTCGAACCGCTCCAAGATTACGAGAACCGTGTGGCGAATTATGGTATCTTTACTGGAACGCGACTACGGCGAGGCGATTCTCGATACAGCAAGAAAACGACCTATTGATGTAACGAATGAGCGGAAGTAAGCATCCTCATTTTCAACGGAATGTTAAAAATGACCGTGCTTTAGTTACAAACCTTGAAAACAGTACATGCCACTCGTGTACGGTCGGCGTATCGAACACAAAGGTGAAATATTATTGGAGAACACTTCACTCTAAAGCTTCCGTGTTCTAGGCTTGTGAGCTTGCTCTTATATTTATTTTATGGTTTATGCTTTGTATAATTTTTCAATCACTTAGTAAACGAGTCAGCGGACGGAAGTTTTTCTTTGCTTGAAGTGGTTTGAGTTCATATTTCGTCTTCCATTTTCAGAGAGGATCCGCCATCAAAGATGCGTCCGGTGAGAAACTCTCGGAACAAGCTAACACCACAAAGTAACGTTGGATCTCCACTCAATGTGATACAAGAAGAGGTTCTGCATTTTTTATTTTGCCTGGTTCAGACTTCAGTCCGTCCGAAATCCAAAGAAAATGTGGTAAGGAAGACAGGAGTCTCCACGTAATTCTTTGTTGAAGCGCTGCCACTGTACGAATTGTGTTATTGTCTATGGCCACAAGGTTATATAATTGGACCTTTATTTGGGTCCAGATGCTTTCGACCTTTCCGTTTTTACTTTAGAATCTGAAGATAACTGATAAGCTCTTCGATTTTGGTCAGCTGCTTGGCCCAAACATTTCACCCCCGTTCAGCGCTTTGAGACGCGGGTTGGAATACGCTTGCGGAATTACCCAGCTCAATGAAATTCACCGAAGGCTCACCAGTTTCTGTTGAGCATATGCTCACACCCTCCTTGTTAGCGTCTGGTACGTGTGCCATGAAGCAAGAAGACAGGAGTGATTTGCGTTCATGTGGGGCCGTTTCTGGTTTGCTTCATGCCCCAGATTAGAGGTCGCATCGAGAAAGCGATCACGTCATTACGACCTCTTTTAAGGAAATCTCGGCCAGTTCAGCTATGCATTGCCTGCATTTTCACGGATTCGCTCGTATTGAAGCTTCTAGGGGGGGTTGTATCTAGGGTGTTTGTGAGGACAAAAAAGTCAAAGTCGGTAACGAATTTTGTGGAATTGAAGAGAGTTCGTGGCGGCGCCGAGATTGGGGCGCGTTTGTCCTTTTTTTTTTCATGATTTTTCTTGAATATCAAAAGAAGGCCATATGACTATGCGTCAAAGGTAGAGGGATCACCGCTTGAACAGTGATTTTTGATTTTCAAGCTGTCCGACCAGACACCTTCTAGCGTTTCCGACGTCATGTCGAGGACACTTCCAGAAACCAAGCAGTGAGAAGGGTTGCATCATCAAAATTTTCACAAAAAGCTGCAACATTGATCTGCTGTTAGAATGTTAATGGAGTCATGATTGCCTCACTTCGACCTCCTTATTCGCCGTTCAGAAAAGTGCCATAGCTCATTCGCCGTTCAGTGCTTTTGACATCGAAGGGCAGGTGACCACCCCGTGATCAATATACATTTGCGTTTTAGGTAGTCGCTTTTGATTTCTTTTGGAACTTTTTCAGATGGAATAGCCATCTTATACGGGCTTTGGGACAACTTCGAACCTTTAAAGAATACGGGAAGATCAAAGTAGTGTAAGGCTGAACATTGCTTGATTACTTTTAGTAGACTTGTTTTGGCAAAAGAATACAAGACTCGCCGGAATAATGTGAGGTACCAAGGGATAGCATGCATAGCGGCAATTGCCATTCAACTCTGCACTTCGAGTCTTCTGAACAGTACCAGTTCTTCAAGAACTTTTGCAGAGAGGGAGAAGAATTCAAAAAAAAAAATCACAAATAGTAATTCTCTTGTTTCCAGGCTCCACAAACACCAGTGGTGGTCCAGCCAGTACTTGTGGAAAGTTCTGTGTTCTGAGATAGCGACGCAGTTTTGCTGACAGTATAATGCTTCGAGGGAAAAAAGGCGCCCAACAGGTAGGCATACTGTACAGCAGCCCATTCTACAAAAGGAGATAGAGGCAAGAGGGTATTTCTGCAGAAACGTCGGACGCTGGCTCGTGTTATCGCGCAGCCTCCTAATCAAACGCAAATCACGTCGTTCATCGCTCCTAAACCTGCTGCAATGACGACGCTTCGAGTGGAGACGAGCACTTCCTCGGCAGATATTATGCTGGGCAAGCAAGGTTAGTGACTCAAGTACTCTAAACTCGTAGATTAAAGCTCTAGGGTGTAGTCTACTGCTACTTCGCAGTGAAGCTAGAGTTAGGAGATAGACAAAGGCGTTGAATATTTTGCTGTTTTTATTTCTTGCAGAAAAAGATGTTCATTGTCAAAAAAATGCGCGCCGGCGACCTTTGCCCCGTCTGCTTGGCAAGAATTCAAACTTTCATCTATTGAGGTCTTGGGAAGTTATTAAAATGCTGAGTGTTTTTTAACTTCTGATCAGAATCGCTTCAGGGATGATTGTCGGGGTGAAAGGACGTTTATTGTTAGAATGATGGTCATCCGTAGTTTCTGCGAGCAGAACATGTAATACAATTTTCAGTTCAGCCAGATTTACAGGCCACGATGTGCGTGGAACAACAGAGCAACAAAGTCGGCAATCAAGGAAACAATTATGGCGACAAGGGCTGCAACACCCCCGATTTTTCTGAGGTCAGATTTCGCGCCAAATTTTATAGTTATACGAGTTCATGTCATTTTACAGTTATGCCCGACATCTTTTGCCCACGATTTCTTGAGTTCATTGCGTACGCCGGATAAAACACCGGCCAAGAACTCTAAGCCGGCGGAAGAGGATAGGTGAGTTCAGTCCACTGAGGGTTTTTTTTTTTTTGAACACACTCCCCTATTTCCGTTTTCCACCATTGGTCGGTCATAGATCCCAGTTTCTCGGAAGCGAATTGTCTCTATTTTTATGTTATTTCAGTGCCTTTTCACTCACTTTCATACACTCGGAGTTTCTTCTCGTTAACTCTTTCTTAAAGGAGGAATTCACGATTAGAATGAAGGTCGAAGAAAGGGAAACTGACCTAGTTGAGGGACCCACGGACCTCCTGAGGGTGCGAACTGACGCGCAATTCGCATGGAAAAATTTGACCTCGGCGACCTATCATGCCTCAAAGCTGGCGGGTCCGGCGATCTCCGCCCACCCATCATCTGATTTCGTCCGCTGTAGTTCAATACGTGGCGATGCGCAGAATGGGCTATTCTATCTAAGCGTTAGCCGCACCTAGAATGATGCCTTCTCCATGCTCTCCTTGCTCTTCGCGATCGTTTACACTACGCTTAAACTTCCAGGCCTTTTCTTCTCGAGTGGTGTGGCTTTTTGAATAATCTATACGAGTGCGGTCATACTTTCCAACCGTCTTGCAGTCCGTGCGATCGTCCGGCCTGAAACGAAGTGCAAGGCACTCGCAAAGTATGACCGCACCCACCGCTGCAGTCCTTACTACCGCTCCTTCAGTTTGACAGAGCAGGAGTCCGATTGCATTCTGACGTCCTTCCTTTCTAATCTGAGACTCTGCGAACTCCGTCTCAGTATCCTCTTTTCAATAGAGTAAAGCTAACTTCCATGGTTCTGTTTCAGACTAGCATTGCTGGCGTAGAGCTTCTCTGATCTTTCCACTTGCCGGTGCACCTTGACTATTTCTGGAATTTTTCGAATTTATTTTCTTCATCTTCTTTCTCGTTGTCCTTCAAGAAGTGTTCTTTAGAAGCGAGTTGATGAACAGGATATTTGGTGGGGAGCTGTCCATGTCTCCAACAAGAGCAAGCGAAGGTGTTTCAGTAACGTATCGAGCGCCAGTCGAGGAATCAAATGGGTAAGGATATATTTCTAATATAAAGTTTCTCCAAAGCTAAAATTATCTACGAAAACGGCAGTTGTGCAGGCGAAGATGTTGGGAATTCCGCACTACAGACTCCACAATATAAGTGACGACGGCTCTCAAGTAAATCCTGTTAATTGGCAAATGATAGCTGTAATTTGGTGATTATTGGTAGAACACTTCTGCATCCGGCTAATCGTTCTAGTGGCAGAAGAAAATTGTTACATTTTGTGGAGACCGTCGTCACTTGTTTTGTGAAGTCTGCAGTGACACACATGTGCTCGCCGGACACAAAGGGGATAAATAGGGCATAGGGCCGGATAAAAAAATAATGTTACGCATGTGATGCGTTTTGAGACAATCGTTCCTCGTCTCAGCAAGCATGACGGGCCTCTCTTTAGCTCCTGCACAGAGTGCGCTCGCAGAATAGTAGTGACTCATAGTGCTGTGGTCTGGATAATGGCTATGCATTCAGTTCTGTAAATGAATTTTTGGTACGAACG